CCCTAGAGTCGCGGCGGCAAGCGTGCAGCAGCGGTATTGTAACTACCGGGGCTTCGTTACGAACCAACACGGGGCATTATACAATGCAGGCGCGGCGGGGGTAAGTGGCGGCCGTGGTAGCAGTAGCGGTGAGAAAGGGGCGGGGAGGTAGGGGTGGGCCTTATCAATGTCAGCCCCTCCCCCTTCCCTCAAATACATGCACGCGTGCACGGCTATTTCGGGCTATAGCGAACATACTAATATCCATCCCCTCATAACGCCCCTTTAGTTTATATCTCTACCGACTAGCGCTACTATATTGGCGCTGCTATGCAGCCAGCTAAAGCGAGCGAGCAGGTCACGGATATCGCCACATCACACAAAGTCGTAAAGCCGTTACAAGCGATTAAAAAAATGAATTGAAAAAATATGCTATACCGTTATTTTGATGCAGGCGGAGGGTTCTCTCCCCTTCTGGGACGGACTCTTCGTACGGTAAATCGCAGCGAAGCAGACGTAGTAAGTACATAGAGAGACGTTGGCATGGTCCAATAAAGGGGCAAACTGAAGAGGCAAATCAGCCCGCCCCTAAGAGAATGACAACAACATCCATCGCCGATACGAAAACAAAAGACGATACAGCTTGCCGCAGATCCTTCTGAACAGTGCTGCTGAAGAGCAACGACCTGGGGCGCAGGACACACAGAAAGGAGTCGTACGGAGGGGATGCAAATAGTATATGCCCTCTCGAGCGGGAAAACAAGTGAAAATAAAGGATGCTAGAGGGTGTTTCATCGAACACCTCACTGTTATAATGGTCGAGACTAGTGGGCGCGCGGCGTGGGCCGGCAGCTCGTAGGGCGCCCGCCAGGTAGGCGGTAGGCAGGCCCGGCGCGGACACGTGCAGAGCGGGCGGCCTACCCTACGATCCGCGGGCGCTCGACTGGGGAAATCCACCTGCGAACGGGTGTAAAATAATAAAAATAAAACAGGGTGCTTTAGGGTTATCCGGATGGCTATCCATGGAGGTATTCTGGGAGTAATCCAGAAGCAATCCGGATAATTTGGGTCTAATCCTTGACACACGAGATGTCAGAGTCGTTCCCCACCACTTTGTGACGGTTCGACCTCGCGAGGCCGCGGGGGCGCGGGGAGTCACTCACCCCAGCGTCTTGGTGGAGATGAGCGGCGTCTTGAGGGAGAGGAAGCCGTTGTTGCGCTGCTGCTTGACGGGCTCCTTGGCGGCCGCCTCCTCGTCCGCCTCGCGCTTCCGCCGGCGGCGCACCCACCACAGCGCGGCGGCGCCGGCGCCCAGCAGCAGCAGCAGCGCCACCAGGCCCAGCACGGCCAGCAGCACCACGTCGCGGCGCTCCATCGCCTGCAACATGCACATCAAGGGTCGTATAAGGTTTTACAGGAAAAACCAACCGAGATGTGTACCGTAAAGTCACAATTTAAACTTGTAGCAAAAAAAAAAAGAAAAGAAAAATACAAGAGCACTTCCCATTGGGATAGAACTTGTGGACGAGGAAGAATAGGCAATCGATAATTTACAACCCATTTTGTAAATCGGGAAAATTTTCAAAAATGCGTGTCATAAAATTAAAATTTGAAATTGTAATAAAAATACAAGCTGTACCTAGAGGGCGCGTCCTCGTTGAAAGGGGAGCTCTCTCCTTGGGCAAACAATACAGTATAAACACATGTATGTGTTTCGCTCGTTCCCGCACCTTCTCCCAACCTCCACGAAGGCCTCCCTTACCTCGAGCGACAAAAACGTGTTGCAAACAGCCTCGTTTCTATCGGCCATGCACCTCTTTATCGCAATGACCTTCTACACGAGGAATATCGACACATATTTCCTAGTTGTGCCGTGCTTCTGAGAAAGATCGCCCCCATCCCTTTCTTCCCTTTCCAACTTCGGACCGCGTTACATAATCCCTCAAAAGCAGATATTGGAAAGGGCGTCAATCCTTTCTCCGTACGACATTGAAACATCTTTCCTCTGG